AATACATTCTATTCAGAATTTCCATGATGATAGATAGACAATCTTAGTAGCAAAGATGGAACATAAAGAAGAAAAAAATTGCTCAAATATCCAAAACTTAGGCCATCGAAAAATTTTGGTCCTTTTTACGAACCTCAACATAGTCTAAAGAAACAATATTATCAAGATTTCAATAAAAAATTTGTCATATAGTAGTCAAGTCTGAGCTTCTTTATTTTATTTATATCAAATTTTAATTTTATTAAAACCTATAAACCTATATTTATATTTTTTGTTTTCTAAGTTAAAAGTAAGTTACGTTTTAAAGGGCATTGTCTTTTTTAGGAGCAGAGAGACATCAGCTTCTTTTATGCAAGCGGGGCACAAATGTCTGTAGATTCATTTTTCTTTATGAGTGGATTTCTCTTGGCCTATCTATACATGAAACAGAAAAACAAACCATTGAGTTTACAATTGAAGTCTTTACCATATTCAATCCTACACAGATACATCAGGTAAGTTGCACCATGTTTATTGGTTGACTATTTAATGGTTGACCATTTTTATATCGTTTAATGACCAAACTGAAGATAAAGAATAAGAACCATCGAACAAAACCCATAGTTTGGTTGTAAGTGAATCAGCCTTTAATACTACATTATCTGACAAAAGAAACTGTGTTGTGTGATTACACGTTTCTACATTGGACATGTACTTTTATTCTTGATACTCTCTTATGAATGAAGTGTATATAGGCGAAAAAACTAAGACCAAACCTACCAATTTTCCGCAGCAACATAAATAGCTGTGAACTTTGTGCATTCGATTCAATAAAATGTGAGAAAAGTTTGTGAACAAAATTCATGGTGGTAAAATAGAAATTGCATTTCTAAAATGCATAGAAAATGAAAAATTCATTTTCTATGCACTTTCAAAAATCATTAATCATTAATCAAGGGTTTTCGAGGTGGATGAACACGAATATTATGGCTCCTGGACTTTTGTGTTATTTTTATTCAAAATTAGTCAACAATTATTACTCGGGGGGTTTTTGGAATTGTTGATCACGAATAATACGACGCCAAAGATCTCCAAGCTATCTGGTGTACGTAGCATGGACCTTGTCTCCAGAAATTTTTTTAAATTTATTATTTACGACTTTTTTGTATAGAAGATTTGGAGAACCTGACTTTGTAAAATTCATTAAGGTAGCACGCCTCAGATGGATAGTCAGAAAAGTTTTTGACCGAAGAGGGCCGATCGGACAACGAAGAAGAGGAAGACCGAGACTTAGGTACCAACACAACATAGAAAATGATTTGAAGTCTATCGGAATTAGAGCATGGAGAAAATCTGCCAGAGACAGGGGTGAATGGAGGATTGTTCTAAAGAAGGCTTTGGTTCATAAAGAGCTGTAACGCCACTGATGATGATGATGATGATTTACGACTTTTATTCTCATAAAACTCCAGGAGATAAGGTCACCCTTAGCACCAGATACCTTTGAGATCAACGCCTTCGTAATAGTCGTATTCAACAATTCCGAAAATCTCCGAATAATGATTTTTGACTAGGGGGAAGAGGTCCACCATCCACCAGGTAGCTCAAGGACAATCGCCGTCTTCATATTCGTGGTCAGCGACCTCAAAAACCTCCGAGTAACAAAATTAAACTTATTCCTGTAGATGGTTTTTTTTTGCATTTTTATTATGCACAAAATTCAAAATGGCTTAGTTTAGTGCTTTTTGGTGCTTCATTTCCTCACCTAATAGCTCTCAAAGCTGTACGTATCACAGAAGTTTACGTTCTATACTATAAAATCGTTGAAGAGCAATAGATCTTGAAAAAGCTAGTCTAAAACATGCATTTAAAAGATTTTTCTCTGACTGAATTAAAGTCGATGGCCAAAAGCGAGAAAGCTGAAAGCTTTGTATGCTTAAGTTTTGTAATGACTTGGGGAAGAACTTGATCTATATCAAAGAACATGTTTTGTCGTCCACTCTCTATCCAACCGAATTTAAAAGAAAAAGCTTACGAAAATAAGAATTTACCTACTGAAATTACACAAATCGTAAATATCATAAAATAAAAGGTAATAAAACAAACAATCAATTGCATAATTTAAATAAAGTGCAAATTGCATAATAAAACCTTACGAACTAATGCATGCAAGTCGAAGTTGCTGCATATGATATTCAAATATAGACAAGAATACTTTAGTTTCTGGTACATAGAGGTACTGTAATTTCTTAGTTATTCATTAAGAAACTCTTCTACTGAATAATATTGTCTTTCAGATAAATAGACTTTTGTCACATTACGGAACTTAAGAAAATATGTTGCAGAATTAAGTTGTAAAGGGAGATAGTTGTATAGTTTTTTGCAGAATATACAGATTTCTGAATTTCTGGTGGAGTAGTCATGATTAGGTCTTGCTGGAAAACATTTGGGTGTTTATGAATTAAGCAAAAAGTTTCTAAAACATACATAGAGGGAAGGCTTAAAATCTCGTGACACCGTATTGCTCTTTTTTATAATTTAAAAATAGCAACAAATTGGGTAGCTATACTAGAACCCCAAAAAGAAAGGCCATATCGAAGATGAGACTTGAACAGAGAAAAATATGTTATTTTGGAAGATGCTTAATTTCCTTCGAAACAGATCTATATATAAGAAATTTTACAGAATCAACGATACTGATATAGCTGTTATTAAGAAGCAAAGGTTAAAGAGCTTCTTTATAAGATAATGTTACTGTCTTATCCGCGTTAAAAAAGAGTAAATTAGAGTCAGCCTAGGATTTTAATTGTAAGTAGATCAGAAGTTATAGTTGCATGAAGAATTGCAATATTAGAGTTGCTCCAGGTGATACTGTCATCTAATATGATCAGCAAAAAGAAAAATGTTTTCATCAATTTTTAAATTAGTGATGTCATTTATAAAGAAAATGAAAAGTAGAAGACCCAATACTGAAGCTTGTGGTGCTCCACATACGATACTTTTGTGACTTAAGTCAGTATCATTTGCCCTAACCTGTTTTTCCTCTTGTTTCCCCTTTCCCAAATAAGATTGGAACCAATTTAAAGAAATACCTCCAATTCCATAGAAATTTAGTTTTTTTCTCAAAATGCCCTGATTTACACAATAAAAAGCTTTGGTATAGTCACAAAAGACAGTGGTAGTGTAAATATTATTATTTAGTACTTGGTAAACCTCAGTGCTTGTGATAAAATGTTGTTTTCAACGACAAAGGACAGAAAGTCGGACTTTTATAAGTTTTTCAATAATTTTGGATAGTACCGGTAGTAAGACAATAGGTCTATCGTTGCAGGCATTGGTAATCTACTCTGGGTAATCCACATTGAACTCTCTATACCAAACAATGCTCTGCAATCGTAGCGATTTTTCTTTGTATCAACTACCTCTAACGAAACAGTAGATAGAAGCACCTGTTTCGAATTTAAACTGAATGTGAAGACAAACTATTCTACATATGTGTCAGCTATAGTAGGTTCTGTAGCATTCAACAGTGAATGATGCATTTTTGGAATAACCAAAGTTGCATATATTTAACTCATGTCCACGATTTACACAGTTATTACACATATTAGATTTTTTGACTAAATTAATTCGTTTAGGTATAGACAACTTTAGGAATTTTTGCATGTATAAATTTTGTGATTTGGATAATTGCAAGACGAATAGGTACGGTTTGAAATATGAAAACTTCTTTGAACATAAGAATTAAATTTATTACTAGACCCTGTTGGTGATTTAGATTATTGTACCCTTATGTTTTGGGTTAAATTAGCCTCTGTGTGTTTGTCCTTCATTTTTTTGAACATTTTTGGCTTTTACTTTAAAAATGGTAGCAAAATTGTTCAAATTGAGTGAATCATTCAATCGTTCGAATCAAGTTTAGTAAACATTAAAAATGTAATATGTAATTAGAGTATCCAATATATCTGTACGCTGTCCTAATGATCTTAAAAACCTTAAGTACATCCTTGCATGATCTACCAAGTGGCTTAGATTTATAAAAGACTCATTTTTTAATGAACTCCACACCAAACGGTGCAAAATGAAATTGTAAATTACTAACCACCTCTTTGTTAGCAATCCTGCAACTAGTTAGATTTTGTAAGTGGGCGACGAAAAAATTAAAAAAAAAAAAAAAAAAAATTAAAAAAAAATAGTGCATATAAAAAAAACAAACAAACATAAAAACAAAAACAAAGCAACAAAAAAAAAACAAAAAAAAAAAACAAAAAGAAAAAAAAAAAACAAAAAACAAAAAAAAATATATATATATATATATATATTTAAAAACAAAACTAAATTCTACATAAAAAAAAATACCACAAATTACACTGCTCACACTTAACTTTAAGCACTACTAATACTTTAAGCATTGTTATTGTGAAGAAGGATGAGTTTTCTTTTTAAGTTTTCTTTTTTAAATTATTATAGTTAAAAAAAATCGTCTGGCTAATTGGTCTTTACCAAAGCCATCTAATTAAGTAAAAAAAAATGAACTCTGAATCTTTTTGTACAAAGTGCGTACGCATCTATGCGAAGTAAATGTAGACTACAGTTGGGGAAAATTGGCACGTACAGTTTTTTATTTCCCGCTTAGCCCTAGCCATGTTTATTTTTCAACAACCTAAGCACGCCACTAAGCTTCCGCCATCACGTCGCCTGACCTGTGATCAAGTTATCCTATTCTACTGCCAATACTGTTGATACATGCTGACGATAATGTAAAATTGGACGTTTGCAAAATTATGTGTCCCTTACATTTTACGGGAGTAATACATAATCACATCTTACCACTAAAATATTTTAAGTGTTAAAAAAAATGTATTATTAAAACATAACTTTTTTGTAATATGTGCCATTTTGACATAATTTGTTATTGATATTAGGTCTGACAATATGCAGTATTCGACCAAATACCTACTACTCAAAAAGCTATCAAAAACAGTATATCTAACTTGTATCTAAATTTTTTTTATTTTTAGATTAACTCCAGCTTTGGCTATGGTATATTTTTTCCAAACCACAATAATCAAACATATGAATGACACTCCTGTTTATTATGCACTCAACCAAGCAGTCATTAAAACTTGTCATACACATTGGTTATCATTCTTTTTCTATCTTCAAAATTATATTAACTACGATGATGTTGTAAGTATACCTTCTATTTTTAGAATAAATATTTAAATATATGTTTGGGCAACTAGAAAAATTAAAAAAGTAACAAAAAACTATAAAGGAATCTATAAATATTTAGAAACAAATTTAAAAAGCGGTAAAATTGTCAATAAAACTTATTAAAGTAGTTGTAAATTAAACCGACATATGAAGTGTATACAGTGTGTCCGTAAAGTATGGAATAAATTCGATATTTCTTTAATGAAAATCCTTTTTTAAAAAATCTAAAACACGCCGATTTTTAAGTTTAATGTTCTACATTTTACAATAAAATTTCATTATACAAGGTGATACAAATTAAGGAAATGACGTGATCGACTCTTTTTTTAAAATGTAACACCCTATATATAATATTTTTAGATCGATAAAAATGAGCTGATTTCAAAAAAGAATAATAGTTGGGGTCTAATTTGAATTTGAATTTAAATCCGATTTGAAAGATATGCGCTTAGAAAATAAATTATTTATTATCAATTGCAAAAAAGTAGCCTACTACTAGTTTTTAGTGAAATATAATTATTTTTAGTAACGTTCAGTAACAAGTAAGTAGTGCAATAATTGTATTAATTCGTGAATGTTCTGTACTATTGCTTAGAATTAATTTGAAGTAGAAATGAATTTGAGTGTAAATTTTATGATGATTGGATTGGGTATGGAGACAAATCGAGAACTCAGATGGAAATGTGTAATTTATTTAATGATAAATATCCAGATAGACCCATAACGCAGTCAACAGTAAGAAGATTGAAAAGAAATTCCTAGAAACTGGTACGGTTGAAAATGTACGCAAATCAGGCGTCCCTCTGTAAATTATGATACAACATTAGATGTTCTAATTGCTTTTGAAGAAGATGCGCACACTTCTTTTCGTAAGCTTAGTCGTGATCTTGATGTTTGAAAAACAACGGACATAAAGTATTAAAACATGAAACTCGACAGCCCTTTAGATTTACACTTGCACAGGAATTAAACGAGGTTGATCCAGATAAAAGAATACAATTGTACGAAACAATGATGGATAACTGCAACCGAAACCCTCTCTTGGTTCAAAATATTATTTTTTCTGACAAGGCTATATGCACATAAAATGGCGAGGTCAACCGTCAGAATTGTATATACTGGGCAAAAGAAAACCCCAACGGAATGCAGGAGCATCATACACAATACCCGAAAAAGGTAAACGTACGAGCTGGCATTGTAAGAAATAGAAAAATCGGACCCTACTTTTTCGAAGGTAATTTAAATGGACCAGCATACTTTCAGTTTTTAAGGAGGTATCTCGTACCTGCTTTAGTAAATTTATTCCCCAGTAGAATTAATTCTGGAGGTTTTGATGAAAGTTTATGATTTCAACAGGACGGTGAGCCTCTGCATTAGACTGTGGATGTTCGAAGGTACTTAACGAAATTTTTCCGAACAGGTGGATTGGAAGACGTAGACATATTGAATGACCAACGAGGTCGCCGGACCTCAATACTTTGGATTATTCTATGTGGGGTCATTCAAAGAATGTTGTTTATAAAACCAAACCTGCAAATATCGAAGACTTCGACTATCGGCAACAAGAATTTGTAAAGAAATAAAGTCATGTATTAATTACTGGATTGCTTTCAAGTTATTGATTATAATTTATTTTTAATTTATTAATATTAGCATTAAACAATGATATTAGCATTGTTTAAATAGGACTATTTAAACAATGATATTAGATATCCATAAAAATTAATTTTCTAAGCACATATCTTTCAAATTATATCCGTTAGACCCCCAGTATTATACTTTTTTGGAATCAGCTCATTTTTATCGATCTAAAAATGATCTAAAATACAGGGTGTTACATTTAAAAAAAGATCCGATGACTCATTATCTTAATGTGTATCACCTTATACAATGAAATTTTATTGTAAAATGTAGAATATTAAACTTAAAAATCGGCGTGTTTTAAATGTTTTTAAAAGGGCTTTTCATTTAGGAAATATCGAATGTCCATATTTTAGGGACACATTGTATAGTCAGAAATCGGTACAGTGTGTGTGGCTATTTTCCAACTATAATAATATTAGCAGCTTACATAATACTTCATTGAGACTACTTAGAACTAAGGAGCGCTGTAAGAAGGAGTGGAAACGCAATTCATCGTTTGTATGACTAGTTCAGCTTTCAGCAATTACCGCTAGAGGGGCAAGTGTACAAAGGGTGCTACAAATACAATAGTGTTTTATAGACTTATTTATTATTTAATTCATTTTTTGTATGTTCAGATTGGGAAATACACATGGTACTGCTTAGTAGTGTTTCCATACGGGTTCTACCTCAACAGTTCATAATTATTCGCTAGATGGTGCTATTTTAATTTAAATTTTTATTCCAAACTAATTTACTTGTAGCGACCGCTATAGAACGGAGGCTTAGTCTGTGTTCGCATGCGCCGTTTTCGCTCTTGTAATCTAAATTATGGACTGTTATAGTTTAGCTATTATCCGATAGAAGGCCATTTTTATTTATTTACGTCATTTTTATTCTGTTATTTCTATTAATTAATAAACAAAAGAACACAGACATCCTCCGTCCAATAGAGGTCGCTACAAATTAATCAATTTTGACTAAAAATTAAATTTAAAATAGCGCCATCTAGCGGATAATTATGAACTGCTGATGTAGAATCGACATAGACACACTACTGTGCTTTATCTTTTAATTTTAGCTTTCTCCCGTTTAATTTTAATAATACTACCATCAGAAAGCTTTATTTTGTAAAATCATATTATATCAACTTCTCGGAAATGTAGTGCACAAACTATGTTATTGGATCCAAACGATCTATTTTTTCAAAGAATTACGTTATACATCTCGATACGAAGTAAGTTCTACTGGTGTAAGCTTTCTTGGTACTCATATTTAAATATTATTTAACCACCAAAATCAGTAATCCTATATCAACTACGAATAAGTAATTATTTCAGAAAATTTCACATTCGCTCCAATGTAATACCACCGAACAACGGTATAATACTCATACCCTTCTCAAATTTAAATAGTGTACACAAATTTCAAGGTCGCTCAATCTCAACCCTTCTCCTTCTTTATACTTACTTCAATACTTAGAACTAACCGTGTTATGTTGAAATGATACTAACCTGAACATCCCAAAGGAAGCTTTGTGGTATCACGAAGACGGAGCTGCTCCACATTATGATGCGACTTATTTATTTATACGAAATATTTCCATACCAATCTATTGGAAGTAGACGCTTGAGAAAATAGCCGGCTAGGTCGCCAGGCCTTACTCCGCTGGACTTCGTATTGTGCAGATTTATTTATATATGCATATGTTACGAGCAAAGCCCGGAATTTTACAATCGTAGCATTGTAAGGAAATTATTGTCCATTTCTAGCATTTTACCCTAAACTATATAATGTCGAAATTAACAAGCGACACACCAAAACATCATTATAATACAGGGAAAATGTTTGTGAAACATTTCAGATTTTCAAGAGATGTGTATGATTTAAAGGAAAAAGTATATAGAAAGTGCCGGTTAAGTTAGCTACAAATAAATCGTCAAAATTGCGTTTGCGGTATTGCCATGTCCTTATTATGTATATTTTTAATGCCTCAAATTTGCTTTGGAACACTACATTTTTATTATATTATTTTATGGAATCTGGGATTTTTTATTTTTTTTTATTTATATAAAACACGAAGGAATGAATATTTGTTTCTTTTGATTTTAGTTGCAGTAAGTTATTAGAAAAAAAATTAATTGGCCATTTGTAGTTGCCAGATTGCAACAGATGTTCAGCAGATTTAAATTTTATGACTATTTTCTTATAATTTTGGGATGAAATGATACCTGATTATCGTTTTGTTAATGTATTAGTTAGTTACTGGAAGTTGTTCAGATCGTCACTACATTTAAATTGTATGAATTTATGTGTTCGGTAACCAAAATTTCGGCAAAAATATAGAGAAAGTGCCGATGAAGTTAGCTATAAATGAGGGACAGATTTGTATTTGGCAGTGTTGCCATATCACAAATAAAGCACTACAGAGAATGCAATATAATAATAATTATTAATGTTACTAAAGATTTTTTTAAAGTTTTTAAAAAAAGTTTAATTTATTTAAATTTAATTTACTATAATTTAAATTAACTTTAATTAAACTTTTTAATTATCCCAGAATTATAATAAAATAGGCATAAAATTGAAATCTGTTAAACATCTGGTGCAATCTGGCAACTAGAAGTTGTCAAAGTTTTGACAATATTGCCAAGTTTTTGCTAGTAGCCTTTGCTAATCTACCAAAGGCCAATTATAATTTTTTTTTCTAATAACTAACTGCAACTAATATCAAAAGAAACAAATATTCATTCGTTCGTGTTTTATATTAATTTAAAAACATTTTAAAAATACCCGATTTTATAAAATAATATAATAAAATAAATGTACTCTTTCAAAGCATATTTGAGGCATAAAACATATACATCATGAGGACATGGTAATACCGCAAACACAAATTTGACTGATCATTTCTAACTAACTTCATCGGCACTTTCTCTATACTTTTGACAAAATTTCAATTTACAATAATGCATAAAATTAATTAACATTATATCGCATGCTCCTTCATTATTTATTTAAACAACATGGTAACACTGTCAAATACAAAACTTTTCTTCATTTGTAGCTAACTTCACCGGCACATTCTATATACTTTTGCCAATTTAAAATAATTTAATCCTACAATCTAGAAGTGAGAAGTCCTAGTTAGTTATGGATTTATACTTCATTGATGTTTGTTTGTCTTTAATAACAAATGAGGAATAATCCTAAAAATCGATATGAATCTATATCTGTCATATTCGCCCAAACTTTAACGCATGGCTACTTATTGAAATTCTAACATTGTACAGCAATTATTTTACTTCTTTTATACAAAGTCCGATGTCTATTTCAGAGATTGTACAGTA